AGGCATTACAAATTGTTATAAACTTTTTAATCCGAAGGGAAAAAACCACTCTCTTGAGGCCATATCGGCCCAATTCAAGAGCCTAAGGGCCATTATATTTTTTGAGTTCGAGAAGTCATCCTCACTCAACTAAAACCTAAGGGTTCTTCTACTTCGATTTTGAGCAAGTACTCACTCGATTTTAGAGACTGTATTAGTCTAACTTCGTCAAGTTGCCTGAGTTTCAGATTCATAAACAAAATTTTCACAAGGCACGAAGTAAGTCAAAATCCTCACAAGGTATAAAGCGTATCAAAATTGTCATAATGCAAAAAGCAAATCGGCATTTTCACAAGGCAAAAGTCGATATAAGAAAGGAAACATTATATAGATATAAAAAATATTTACATGGATCAGTAAGGATCCTACACAAAAAATTCAAAAAGGAAAAAAACCATAAGTGCCTAATTTTCTTCGGGAGCTGCGTCTTCGTCATCAGATCCCCTCCACTCTCAGATCTACTCGCGCTCCCGAAATCATCATCATCAAAAGAGAGCAATGCTTTAGCTTCAGCCTCAAGTACTTTCGCGTTCTCGATATCAACAGCAAGGTCAAAGCCACGAGCATGGATCTCCTCGACAGTCTCTCTTCAAGACTGATACTTGGCATGCTCGACGACCCAGTATGATCGAGTCTGAGCGGTGTCAGCCACTTCCTTTGCTCGAGCTTGAGCAGCTTCAGCATCAGCTTGGTAGACGGCCACGATCACCTCGGCTTCAGCCTTTACTCTTTCTACCTCAGATGTGGCCTTTGCAAGTTCGGCGGCCAACCGAGCCTCGAGCTCCTTAATTTTCTTGGCTCGGGCCAAGCTTTCCTCCTTCATGCTTTGGAGTTGACGTTCGGCCGACGACAGTTGGGCTCTAGCAGTATCTTCTCCAAGGCAAGGCGGTCCATGTTTTGCTTCCACCCCAAAGCCTCCGCCTTCATCATATTGGCCTCCTCACGAAGTTGCTCGATCTTTTCGGCCTTCTGCTGAACCTGCAGGATCAAAGTTTTAGTCGTCGTTCCCGAATTGATATTGCAAGCTTCCAAAACTTTACATTACCTGCTCAATCAGGTCGGTCTGCTATTTATGAGCTGTTGCTAATTCAGCTCGGAGGTCCTTGTTTTCCTCTTCTTTTTGCCCAGAGAGAATTTTGAGGGCATCTCTCTCCTCCGTGAGCTTTTTGAGATCGACCTTACACCGGCTCAACTCTGACCGGGATTTAGAAAATGCTTCCTGATGAAGTGTCAAGGCCTACGAAGAAAGAAAGGAAATCAAGCAAGAAGAAATAAATGCAAGCGTAATATTGACGAAGGGAACTGAGGCTTACCTGGCTCAGAAGTCGCTGAGCCTCATCGAAGAGACTTGATGCATCACCCGGGTCAGTAACATCTTCGACCCCAGTGAAGCAACCACGGAAAAGGTCCTCCCATTCGTGGGTCGTTCCCACATCGGGGGTCTCCATAGCTTGGGCTTCCTGAATTTTCCCCTCGAAAAATATGGGCAGGGGCGGTGAATCACCAATATCTATTGCCCCAAGCAAGTCACTTGGGGCGTTCTCTTCGTTTCGAAGAGTCTCGGGATCAGTCCTTTCAGGCATATTCGCCGATTGCTCATCACGGCGGGAGGCATCTTCACCCTCTGACGACTCGGGGACTTTGCTCGGGCCATCTTTCGAGATCTCCTTGGTCCGAGGCTGAACCTCTTTGATTATCACCGGTTTAGCGGCCTTTGGGGCCTTGGCACTCTTCTTCGATCGAGCTACTAGCTCGAAGCCGGCATCTTCATCTTCCTCTTCTTCCTCCCTTAGCCGCTGAGCTACATCAACATGCAGGACGACGGTGTCTTTCTTCGACTTGCAAGCCTTGCTCTTCTTGGGCTTCGGAGTATTGGAGGGCGAAACCCTTTTTCTTTTCTTTTCCTTCACGGGACCGGGGGCGAAACCTTCTCCTCCCCGGACGGGGGCCTCATGACAACATCTTTCCCGAGGCATGTATGAAAGAGAACCAAGTGAGTATAGGAGGGAAACATTCTAATAAAAGCCATCAGATATGTAGAGGAAAGGCTTACCGTGATTTTGGCCTCCCATCGGCCCCTCGCTAAATCGCGCCATGAGCGATCAACGCACGAGGAGTCAAAGCTAGGGTCCGAACCCACCTCTCGAGATTCGAAATCACACCAGGCATCTAAGAAACCGCTACATCGTAGAGCAGAATGTCGATGAGGAGAAGTAAAGGAAACAAAATGGTGAATAAAGCCAAAGGAAGAATTTAACTTACGCTTCATGTTCCACTTCTCGAGAAATGGCATCTTCTCAAACGAAATTAGGTCGGAGGTCTTCACTCGAACGAATAGACCCATCCACCCTCGATCCTTGTCCTCGTCAATGCTCGAGAACAACACCTTGGTGGCCCGACGCTGGAGCTTTATCAGTCCACCTCGAAAAAGACGGGGCCTATACAGCCTGATGAGGTGGTCGAGGGTGAAAGTCGTCCCTTCCTTTTTGCTCGCAAAAAATCGGAACAAAAGGACAATCCGCCAGAAGGAAGGGTGAATCTGACCTAGGGTTTTTTGGTATTGGCAGTAGAAGTCGAGGATGACGAGGTCGACAGGGCCCAGCGTGAAAGGGTAAGTGTAAACACTTAGAAACCCATTCATGTGGGTAGTGATATCTTCCTCAGGGGTCGAGATCACCACCTCTTTCTTATCCCAATTGGAGTCTTTCTTAACCTGCTCAAGGTCACTCTTAGTTATCGAGCACATGAATCTCGACATTGGCTCACACCGGCCAGGGACAGAGGAAGTTTTCTCGACTTTAAAGTCAGAAGTAAGATCACACACCCCCTCGAGAACGCACTCCTCAAGGCGCGGATCCACTGGCATTTTATCGCTGGCCGGCCGCGATGAAGAAGCTTTTTCCTTTTGAGGAACGGTTTTAAATGTTTTTGCCATCTCTGTAAGTTGAAAGAAGAAAGAAGAGAATGAGGTTTGGTGTTTTGAGGAAGGGTTGGTAACGAAGCCTAGGAGACTATGCGGAACGGGAAGGCTTAAAATATGTGAAAAGCTTTGAAGATTCGCAAATAGACTTGAAGAGCTCAAAGGGATTTTGAAGATTAGTATAAGAAAAATTCAAAGTAAAGATTAAGGAAGTGAGAAGAAGACCTATTTAAGGATTCACGGCGACGATTCAAAGGCACTGGTGGCCGACCGCCAACTGACACTCATTAATGATTTTGGGAACTGTACGACGGGACGTTTCGGTTGCTTCCGTCACTTATGTCACGAGGATGACGTCATGATAGATCGAGGTACAAAATCGAAGGCTCAATTTGTTTCTTCTCATTACATTCCAAGAAACGAGGGGACTATCTGTATACGGTTAAAACCGGGCCTACCCGATTGCGCTATTTGATCAAGACCAGGGAACTGCATCGAGGGTTAGCCTCGTAATGGATCAGACCGGTGCACGAAGACGAGGTATCGAGTCCAAGGATCGAGGTGCCTGTCGAGATTGAGGCCAGTAGTGATCGAGACCAAATATGGCAGACTTCGAGCAAAGTGCAACAACGGAAAGGCGAGATATCCGTGACTGGCCGAAAATCATGGTGTAAATCTCAGAATAGATCAAATCAAGGGCGGTTATCTTGTTAATCATGGGATTTACTTCCTTAATTAAATTTGTACCATAAATAGGATTCCTCTACTATATAAAAAGGGTCCTAATCATTTTGTAACCATCTTACATTCACGCATATCAAAGCAATACAATATTCCCTCTTTAATTTACACTCTCTTGTTTATCAGCTTATTGCATTTTAACTGTTCTTGCATAACTAGCTCGAGGGTATTCAAGCTCGAGGCTCTGTTCAAACACTGGTTCGCCTTATATTTATTATTCATTTCTATTATTACTCTTTGCATTTATCGATTGGTAGTAGGTGAAATCACCTATCCTTAAAACCACATTATGAGTTTAGTTGTTATCCAATTTTTAGGGTAAACAAATTTCTTATACCCTCTTAAGCTAACATTATCGGTTCATGATTGATTTTGTTCTTTTTAGGGTCTGCCTTAATAATATGATCTTTTTCTTTAAGAAAATATTTTTCCCTCTAGTAAATCAATAATCTTTTCTATGCTATTTCAAACTTGATGCAATCTTGTTAATACGTATTGTTTTCTATTTTTTTGTTCTTGGACTACCAAATCAAATCAGATTAAATATTATATTACAACTTAGATTTCGGCATTTATCTTTTATTATTATGCTTTGGTGATTCCATTAATAACTTATTTTGTCAAATTTCTAAAATCGGTTTATATAGAAAGTACTTTTGGTGAGAAATAATTTGTGCTTGACTAATTAATTTGAAAAATCCTTTTGAGGAGCAATTGGTTCTCAAAAGTGCTTTTCAAAAAAGTGCATATGAGAAAAATGTTCTTTTTTTCTGCTTCTCAAAAACTGCTATGTTGTTACTAATAAATACTTTTTTTCCCTTCTAAAAGTTTGAAATAACTTAACTTTCAAAAAAAAAAAAAATTGGCGCAAAAGATATTTTTAATTTAAAAAAAAAACTTAGCCAAACAAGCTATAAAAGTCCAATGCTAGACAAAAGTGCTTTTAGTTTGATTAGAGACTATAATTCATTGATGGAAAATTATGGATAGACAAAGTGACAAACTAAGCAACATACTTTGGGACAGATGAGTAATTTCTAAGGGGATTAGAAGGGTTAATAAAGTAAAACTAATTAGAGGGGTTAATCATTGATGTATTGAGCTTCTAAATTTTTACAGGTGTTAGCAACTTGCAACTTTATAGGAAACTGTAATCACTCTGTTTTAAACTTTTTATGAGTAATTTTTTTATTTATATTACTACTAAAGACAAACATTCTTTTTTAGACCCAAGAAAACAATGAGGCTAGGGAGTTATAAGCCAAAAAAAAAAAAAGAAGGGTGTCCAATTTGTACAGTGTTCAGCTATTCCCCTGCACATACAACAAGACAAATGCAAACCTGGGGAAAATAAGAGAGGAGAGAGAAGAAAAAGACTGTTTTGTGACTCAGTCCCACTTTTGTCTACCTCTTAACTTCTCTCTCTCCAATGGCTTCTCTTCATTGTAGTTCCCTATTTTTCTAACAATTTTGCAGCAATGGAAGCAGAAAATGATGATTACCATAAGAAAGAAAGGGCCACTGCAGTCACAATACTGGTCTTTGCTTCTCTAGCCATTGCTTCTTTGTTTATTGCATTTAGCTACTATTGCTATATCCGTAACAAACTCGCCAAGCGTCTCAACAACCCTTCTTGTAAGTCTTTACTTTTTCTCAGCTGTACAAGTTGTTCAAGAATTAGGTACATATGTTAAGTTGTGGACAATGAGCTTCAATGTGTCGCCGAAAGTTTTCATCTTTGTAAAGATTTATGGGTCAAAAGGAAATAGCACTAACCAAAGGCTCAAAGAGGATATTTGAGGTGGGGCTTCATTTTTTTCTTTTTCTTATTTAAGATAAATAAAGTTGCTGCCATATGACCAGGGTTCGAACCGTCAAAACAGTCTGGCAGAAATGTCAGGTAAAGCTGCTCTATAATAGACCCACGTGGTCCGGCCCTTACTCGCACCCCGCGCATAGTGGAAGCTTAGTGCACCGGCCTTTATTTTTCTTATTTAAAGGATAAGGAAAAAGTAGAAACATGCATTGTCACTGTGGCAAATAGAAAAGATTTAATGTTGGTTATACAATGTAGAAATCCTGAATAGAAGGCCTTAATGACTGGAAGCTGTAGTAGTAGTAGTTGTTGTTGTTAATGAAATTAGAACAAATTGTCTAGTTATTTTAGAGAGAAATGCTTTCTAATGCACAAATTCACCACCATGCTCAGTGTGCTTTCCTCTGTATCACCTCAAGTTTTGGGAAACCTAGTCTTGATAAGTTTTTGTTATGCCATTTAGATACAGAGAAAGCTTTTGAGGAAAAGGGCAATAGTTTTGCTAATCTGAAAGTCACTGCGGAGAAGGGACTTCAAGTTTTCACCTTCAAGCAGCTGCATTCAGCCACAGGTGGATTTGGAAAATCCAATGTGATTGGACATGGTGCTTTCGGGTCAGTGTACAGAGGAGTGCTTCAAGATGGGAGGAAGGTTGCAGTTAAGCTGATGGACCAGGCTGGAAAGCAAGGGGAAGACGAATTCAAGGTGGAGGTGAGATATCAGTCGTTACATTTCCGACACAACACAGTGAATTCTATAATGTTGAAAGGGAAACTAATGTTAGGCTCGCCTTGCTTTTAACTTTTCATTTGCTGGAATTCAAGCCTTCCGTCAATGAAACTGATAGCATAGAAGCACTTTTGTTAGCCCTTTATCAATTGAAGAATTATGGTGCTATCCAATGAAAAGTTAAAGGCTTCGTCAAGTCTGAAATAAGGTTAAGCACTTTGTTGAAATTTTGTAATGTTTAACCCTTGAGGGCTTAAATGTTACCAAGTGAAGATCTAAAGGGTTTCGTTGAGTCTTAACCTAAATTCAGTTAAGTCTTTGTAAAGACATTGTATATGTATATATCATTTTAATGAAAGGTTTGTAATCTGTCAAATATTAAGTTACTTGTATATTCTTTGCTTTACCGAGGAAAAAGAAACAAAGCATCTTAATCTTGTAAATATTTGTTTGAAATGTATTAACTCATGCTTTTGAGCATTTAGTAAAACAAATTATTAGGTAAATGGAAGCCGTAGATACGCTGGTCTAATTAACCTACAAAACAAGTTTTACTAAGTTATTGCAAATATGGAATGACTGCAACTCAAACTAAGATATATTATTGTCTTCTTCTTTAGCAAAACAAATGTTTTGATCCTGGGGAGATTACACATTAAAATGAAACAATTAAAATATGAAGCAAAACGGAAATTATGAATGAACATAATGCAAGTTAAAAAGTCTCAACAAGCTGTTCAATTATTTTATAATTACCTTAGTATTTCAACTTTTGTGTCAAACATTTACAAATTGCAGAATTTCAGCTGAACGGTTAAACTTCTTTTGGGACTTCGAGAACTGTTGAAGGCCTGAATCTTTTTTCTTGTTATTTTGCTCCCTCTCCTTTACTTTTGCTGATCGGTTGTTGGCATGTATAACAGGTCGAGTTGCTATGTCGCTTGCGCTCACCGTATTTGCTGCCGTTGATTGGCTATTGTTCAGAAAGCAGCCATAAATTGCTCGTTTATGAGTTCATGGCAAATGGTGGTTTGCAGGAGCACTTGTATCCAATCAATGGTATGTATTTGGTTTTCAGTTGCATACTTGCATGTGGTTTTGGGCCTTTTGGAGGCTGGTAGTAGCCTTTGATTTTATTACAAGTGCTATTGTGGGGCTGCAATATGTTTTCGTCACATGAATCTTTGATATCCTTTTATGCATCTCTTTTTTCTCTCTTCTTACTTCCTCTTTTTTTGTGGGCCATTCTCCCTTGACCTCGTGCGCTCTTTTTCCATCTTCCAGGAATAAATACTTCGTGGGTAGGACAATAATGGATGAATTATATCCTCATCAAGTGACATCCTAGACATATGGAAGTTGTCATATTGGCTTAGTTACACTTGGCTTGTAAATAGAAACCAACTAGTTACTTGTCCGCCAGAAAATAATGTGGTAATACATTGTTTTGTACTTCAAAGTTCAGATAATTTTTTTTCCTAATGTAGTAAGACACGGGAATATCTGCTAGCTATTACATAAGAAGTTGCTACCAATAAATAAAACATGGAAAGCTAGTCAGTGTCCAACCTGAGAAAAGCAAAGTTAATGTATATTGTTGCTCCCTTACACTCAGCTCTACATCAGCTCACAAAGAGCATTGCTCACTTAGTTTTTTTTAAGGGAATGTCAGAATATCCAAATCTATTTCTTCCTTACTGTTGCTCGCCCGCATGGAGCAATAGTTAATCCATTCATTGCAGCTTTTAGTGCCTTGTAAATGAGGAAGTACCGTAGTAATAATGGCTGTTTGATCTCCCTTATTTACATAAGAGAATGCACTGAGTGATAGTCACTTAATTCTCTGCAATTGTGATGCTACAACTATGAGAAACCACAGGTATAAGTTGAGTGTTTGATCTTCCATATTTCTCTATAGAATGGTTTGGCAGTTTTCCCTTGCAGGAGTTGTCTTAGAATCCTCACGGTCCTATAAACTAGATAATTTGCTGTTGCTTCATGTGTTGAACATTTTGGATGAGTTACCTAAATCATGTAATTTTTAATTCCTATACCTTGGATGTATTCAACGCATGAACGAGTAATGATTTATAGTGTCCTCACAGGTAATAAAAGATTATTTTCTGAAATGTAGAAAACCACATGCTAAATTATATGTTTATGCCATCCACTTGGAGCGAAGCAAGTCTTTTCCTGGAATTCCTACTTACCGTGTAGTGTGCCAAATGGGCTATCCCTATTCTTATACCTTATTTCACATTGTTTCAAATTTTTTGCTTTTGAAGTCATTAATGAAAGTATGATACTTCAATCTGTAGGTTCCAATAATTTTTGTCCAAAGTTGGACTGGAAGACCCGGTTGACAATAGCTCTGGAGGCTGCTAAAGGTTTGGAATATCTCCATGAGCATGTCAATCCCCCAATTATACACCGAGATCTCAAAAGCAGCAATATTCTTTTGGACAAAAATTTCCACGCCAAAGTTTCCGATTTTGGATTGGCCAAGCTTGGATCTGATAAAGCTGGCGGGCATGTCTCTACCCGAGTTTTGGGAACGCAGGGATATGTTGCTCCAGAGTAAGTACCCTTCATTTGGCTGAATCATGTAGGTAGAAGTATATTATATTAGTTCCTCCCCTGATTGTTGAGATGCTGTCTTCTCTTAACTTAGCAGTACCTTCTTATCTTAGATTTTAACGTCACTGTCAATTTCTTCTGTTAAACCGTTGCAGATATGCATTAACAGGGCACTTGACCACCAAATCAGATGTTTACAGTTATGGTGTTGTCCTCCTAGAGTTATTGACCGGTAGAGTTCCAGTTGATATGAAGAGACCTCCTGGTGAAGGTGTTCTTGTTTCTTGGGTAGGTTCCCCTATTCGTTTCCTTCATTTTTGTTGATAAGAGGGTCCTCTAATAGTTTTAAAGCTTAATATTCCCATTTGTCTGTTAGGCTTTGCCCCGTCTCACTGATAGGGAAAAAGTTGTAGAGATTATGGATCCAGCACTGGAGGGGCAGTATTCAATGAAAGAAGTTATTCAGGTTGCTGCTATTGCTGCAATGTGTGTACAACCGGAGGCTGATTATAGGCCACTAATGGCCGATGTTGTGCAGTCGTTGGTTCCACTTGTGAAACAACAGCGACCAATGGCTAAGGATAGTAGCTGCTCTAGCTTCCATGCTACACCATCTCCCAAGGCTTAGACTTTTTTCAAGCAAGACGAGCATATCGTGATCCTTGGTTCTGTGGCCAAATCTTGATCCTTAGTTGTACACCAACTTTTATAACTAATGGTCGCTTAGTTTGTTTATGGACTATGTAGCTTATGGATATTTTTTTTTGAGTAACTTTAATCTAACAACGTTTGATGGAGCGAGCCAGTTGTAGTCATTTCTCACAGTAAATCAGGGAGAAGAACTATCAGTAGTATATCAGAGAACTTGTTTCTGTTTAATATCTTAGAGAGCTCATCAAATGTTGGGATGTATCTTTCCTATATAGAGGTGTAATCTTTGCCTGGGGATTTTGATTCTTCACTGATGCTGTTTTCTGTTCCTAATACTAGTCTAATAACAACAACAACAACAACAACAACAAACCCAGTGTAATCCCACAATGAAAGGTCTGGGGGGCGAGATATTGCTTTCGATAGACTACCGGCTCAAGGTAAAAGTAAAAGAACCTAATACTAGTCTAATAACTTATGAAAATGTTCAACTGAATTAAATTTTCCTTGTATAAAATGATATTCAAGGCCATTATCACTGATTCAAAGTGTTCCTGACTTCCTGAAATGTCATGAGTGCCTGTTGTGAAGTGTGATCTGAATTGAACAAACAAAGGAGAAAGCTTCCATGTTTGCCTGTAGCCCTATTTGATTTTATTTTATTTTGTTATTCTCAACTAATTTATCAGGTACTTGCAATTTTCTATCAGCACAAAATATTGGATAACTCTTTCACAAAAACTTAAAGAAAGAAAAAAATCACCTAGTATTTTGGTTATATGTGTTTCTTATAGCCTAGCTTATTTTGAGAAGTGCTTCTTCGAAAAAGTACTTTTGGTGCGAAACAGTTTGTGTTTGACTATTTAATTTGAAAAGCACTTTTGAGCATTAATTAGTGTGAGATTTTCAAAAAGTGCTTTTGGGGACAAACTATTTTTCTGCTTCTCAAAAATTGCTTCAGCTTCTACTCAAAATCATTTTTTTCCTTCTAAAAGCTTGGTCAAACACCTCAATGTTGACATAAATGTGTATAATTGAACTTTTCGGCTAATAAGGTAAGGGTCGAAAGATATACTTATTTAAATAAAAGTTCACATAAATGTGTATAATTGAACTTCTGAAGGCTTTTAACAGTCCTTGGTTCTAGTTAGGATTTAACGTGAAATTTGATATTTTAAGTACTACTTTTGAGATGTTCTTTTAGTTATATGGCTCATTTCACAGGAAATTTTAATATTTAGACATAGGAGACCTGTAATATTTTTTCAGGATAATTTCTTCTATGTCAAATTTCAATGGAATAATGTCATTTCCAGGTGAATATTTATTTAATATCCTGCATTGATTCTTTTGAAACGCAAGCATATTCTAGTTTTTCATGTTGCTTTTGCCTGTGTAGTCCTGGAATCTCTTGAGGAGTATGTCGCTTGAGTGCAGAGCAGGACATGTCAAACTGATTCCATATGTTTAGCTAATTGGATATTATTATATGCTTATCTTTCTTCATTTGGTGAACTCCTATTCTCTTTGTCTGCCATACATTTATAGCCCTCCATCATTGCTCTGCTAAGGTTATAATCACTAATTTGTCTTAATTAGCACCAACCTGGATGCTTTGCAAGACACCTTGTCCGCTCAGGGGCGGATGTAGCGTAATTTCCACGGGCTCAATTGAACCCATAATTTTTGACCCGGTGCATAAATTTATGTGTACAAATTTGTTAAAATTGTAGCAACGAGTAGATATGAACCTATAACTTTAAAAATATTACGGGTTCAATATTAAGAATCTTTAAGGCTGAACCCATAGAGTTTAAATCCTAGATCAGCCTCTGTGGCTGGCTGCTGGTAGCCTGGTACTAAATTTGTTTCTTCCGAAAAAGCAGATTAGGTATTGTTAGAGGATAAAATTATATTGTCACGCATTGTTATGTACAGAATTTTCGTAGTTGTTTATAATGTCTTCACTCTTGAGCCGCTTTACTAAAGTTTTAAGTTGGACGTTCAGATTCTTTCACAGACGTGTAACACTAAAACAAAATTGAGAAAATAAAAAAAAAAGAATAATTCCTTGGTTTTGCAAACAAGGTGCGAAAATGGGATCCAAGAAGTTGATTGCATTTGGAGGGAAAGAGACATATGAGTTGCAGTTAGGATTTTCATTTTTCTTTTTGTTGAGAAACTGGAATACTTTTATTGATAAAAACTATGTAATATTCATTACAAGATCCGGAGGATCATTACAAAAGTATAAAAGGCCATATAAGGCATTTAGGTTACCAAGCTTGGCAAGGATTTTCATTTATTTGTTCGTTGAACTCTCCTCTAGAAAGGCAACAAGTTGTTAGTTTGAGTACTTGCATGAATTACTATTGTTCAAATAATGAAAGAGACTTCGTCCAAAAGGTTGACCAAAAGTGTTGAGTTCATTAAGTATACTCCTAGAAATAACAACAATAAGACCTCTATATTTGCCTCCACGATGCCTAATAATGTTGCATTGTATACTACTCGAAGACTCCCTTCCAGCAAGAAATGTTACTATTTACTTCCACCAGTCCAAAATATATTAGTGTACACATCTATTAAGAAAAAAAATTATTAAATAATATTAATCATGCATAAAGTTATTTGACTAAGTTACCATTTATCTCTACTTTTTTCCCTTTAATCAACTACTAGTAAATGTAAAAAAGTAAGGAAAACTGCTTAGAAAGTTGTATATTACTTATATTACTAATTAGAGCAAAGTTAAATTTGAAAAAGAATAAGGATTACTAATAAATAATTTAGTTAGATTTGGGTATTGCTATACAAGTCAACAACAAATAAATAGCAAAGAATATTTCCTCATATATACCACCCGCGGATGAAATTAGTCAACTCTCATGTGATGTTTGCTTTTGAAAAAAGTATTAAGTGACGAAAAAATGGAACAATTAATCAAAAGGAACATGCAGCTGGAATTTTTTTTTGAATAAAAAGCCATCTCATTAATTTTAGGTAAAGGAGACATAGCTAAAACTTTTGGTTGTTTGCATGTTTTTCCTATTCTTTGGTTTTTTAATGTAATTTTGCAAAGATAATAGTCAAACCGGCCTTCCTATTTTAAGGGACCCTACGTTCTGGTTCTCTAGATTTTCCTTCTTTGATCTATTGCTGTATGCCAACCAAATAAAAGTAAAAACGCGGTTCAGCAGCTAAGTTTGAATATATATATTAGACATTAATTTGTACACATGAATTTTTCTCTCTAGCTAGTACTTACTCAAAAAGTAGACGAAATATTAAATAAAGCTAGACTTCTACTCTTTTTTTTTTTTTGGTTGTCTATCTCGTAACACGTAGCTTACTTGTATATAAAGGGGCAATTTGTGCATGTCATACAATCATTCAAGCTTATAACTTTTATATCTTTGTATTAGAAGAAGTTATATTCAATCATGGCCTCCTTAACTAGGAACGTCCTTTTGACATTTTTATGTGTTTTGTTGGGTTTTGTTTGTTTTAGCAATGCCCAGCTTTCGACCAACTTTTATGGCACGTCGTGCCGTAATCTGCAGACAATTGTGAGCAGTGCAATGAGACAAGCTGTGAATAGAGAGCCAAGACTTGGTGCCTCTATTCTTCGCTTGTTTTTCCATGATTGCTTTGTAAACGTAAGCTCCCATATTCTTCATTTCCATTATCAGTATTGTATTTCAACTCGTATAATATCAGAGGCGGACCCAAGATTTTTACTCAAAGGGGCATACTATTCTACTTAACCAGTGTCCCCTAAAGGCTTTTAGTGTTCACGGTGCTAAGTACTTTAAATTAGTAACAATTTTCAAGATATATACATATACATATACAAGATTTCTGCCGAAGCTTACGGGATTCGGTGATCCCTCACTAAAACACATAGGTCCGCCTCTGAACTCGGTATTGTGACAGGTTTTCTGTCTTACATTTCAGTTTGCTAATTCTACTTAATATGATTAGTAATATGTAGTTATCTTTTAAGTGATTTGATAGTCGAAAAATTCTTTAACCCAGTCAATATATAAAAAGTAAACTCTTTTAGTACAATTTTTCTTTAAGACGATATAAGTGGGGCCGACATAATCCTAAGTTAGTATTATTTTACTCTAAGAAAGTTTTAAATTGTAGAAATTAATTGCAATATAATGAGTGTTAATTGACGTATACTCTTAAAATTTGAAGGTATATATGCACGAAGACTTTGTGTATTCTAATATTGTCACTTTCTCTCTGGTTAATTTAGGGGTGCGATGCATCAATACTATTAGATGATACAGCAATATTAACAGGAGAAAAGAATGCAAACCCAAACAGGAACTCAGCAAGAGGATTTGAAGTGATAGACACCATTAAAACTCAAGTTGAAGCTGCTTGTCCTAATGCTGTCTCCTGTGCAGACATTCTCGCTCTTGCTGCTAGAGAAGGCGTTGCGTTGGTGAGTTCTTTACTTATTCAACTTCCATATGTAGAGCTTTCATTTCCTTTTTCCATGCATACTTCCATCAAAACGTTCATTAATTCTTAATCTTAATATACTATATTACGTCGGTGCTATTAATAGTATTGTGGCCAATATGGATTTAAAGTTGTATATGCTGATTGTGTGTAATTATCGTTTGAATTATGAGTGAATTTTAACTTGTGATAGCAAGTTAAGCAGTTACTAAATGTATATCATAAAAATTATTTACATGTAATTATATTGTGGTCTTAAGTACATTTACTATCATTTATGTAATTTCACATGCTATTAGTACGGTAAGTTTAACATGTGCGTGATAGCTGGTTAATAACTATGTTTATTACTTAGATTACTAATTATTGTTTATCCTGAAGATATATATATATATATATATATATATATATATATATATATATATCTTCACGTGCGTTGCACGTGTATTCTTAAATATATGTAAAAATATTTAATGCATACAGACAAAAGATATTTGTTTTTGTTTACGGATTTAAACATACCAAAAGTTAGCGTTCTAATGCAATCATAAGACCCTTAATAAATTAAAATAAAAAGCATACTCTGCAACCAACTCTATCTCCATTTTTTTAGCCTTCATACTATCAATCAAACTTTAGTATATCGCCCTTTTGAAATTTGATTGCTTCAATAGACGATGTTAGAAGCAACATTTCTGTGATCAACTTTATCTATTATGTATCCTTCAATCATGTATAACAATATCAAGTGAGCCTTGTCATGATTTGTCTCTCAAGGTTGATTGCTCTTCTCTGCAAGAATATTCAATTCTCGCTCT